AAGAATCAAATTCTTAAAACAAGAATCAAGTTCTTAAAATAAGAATCAGGTTCCTAAAATAAGAATCAAGTTCTTAAAATAAGAACAAAAGTTCTTAACCTAGAATCTTGAATTTTGATGTAGTGTTATATAAATAAAATCTACTAGACCGGGGCTAAAAGAAGACAATATTTGCCTTATCACTACACCCCGACGTGCTTTCATCAGCAAGCGTGTATAACCATTAAAATGTAAACATGTAGCATAAAGTTACTTTGTACCATTTAAAAATTATATACAAATATATACAAATATGTTAAGATCAGTTACTAATCTATAATCAAAAGAAAATCGTAAAAAAAAAAAAAAAAAAAAAAAAGCAATCACACTTAAAAACTAAAGATAAGTTAATAGGATAATTAAAGAAAATTTAAATTGGTTAGACTAGTTAATAAGATAGTTGTTAAAAAAGAAGATAAAAGAATCTTAAAAAGAATTTAATTCATTAACATCGTTAAGAAGTTTTTGTTTGAGTTTTTGCTTAAATAGAGAAAGACAATGAATAAAAAACCGTATATAGAAACTAAAAAAAGGTGAAAATTGACATACCCTAATAACCTTGACAATCATATAAATATTCTATAAAATGCCGAAAATTGTAAGTTAGATACTCGGGCAAATAAGCAAAAATAACAAAAGGTAATGTTTGTTAAAAATATATATAAAAAGTAATAAAATTGTACATTGTATTGATGTCAAATCCTATTGAAGTTAAATGCTAAATTAGGCACTTGACACCAGCTGTCAAATGGTAGATGGTGAGAACAAGAGCGAAATTAGGTGTCAAATGCGGCATTAGATATTTGGCATTCAACATCTGATCTTGTTCTTGGTCCGGCCATCTGGCATTTGACTGCTGATTTTGTCCTCGTCACTGGGAATTTAAACCACACCCCTTATAAAAAAATGTGTGAGGTGTATTCTGTTACGTGCTACCCGCTTGCAATGATACACTCAGAGGAGATCGCCCCTGGACATTTGACATCTTATTATGTTTGCATACCTATAATGACTATAGTAGATGTATAAATAAACCTGTGACATTATAACCTGAAGATTAAAGCTTACTTCGTCTATAAAACTGCAGTTTTTCAAAATTAATGATATTTAATTGTGCAAGCAAAGACATTAAAATGCGAATATAAAATAAAAAGTTAATCAAACTTCATAAAATAGTACAATAACAACCAAAGATTTAAGAACAAAATCCTCGTCAGAACTCGGCACCTCCGGACCGTTTTCGAAACCTACTCGAGGAGGGCAACCAATTGCTGTTCTTTTTTTAGAAAAAATGAGCAGTATTTGGTTGTCTCTGTCAAATGTGTCTCGGAAAAAGTATTGGGGTTGCCTAGTCATGATCAGGATTTTGCATGCTGCAAAGATATTAAAATGCCAATGTTAATAAAAAATTACCTAAATTTCATAAAATAGCACAATAACTATAAATTTAAGAGTAAACACCTGCCTGCAAAATTCAGGTTAGAACTTGACAAGCCCGGACCATTTTTGGGAACTGCCCAAGGGGAGCAATCAACCACTGTTCCTTTTTATAAAAAAATGAATAGTCGTTTGTTGCCTCTCTCAAACAAGTCTTGAAAAGGGTCTGGGGAGTGCCAAGTGATAATTAGAATTTTGCAGGCTGCAAAGGTATTAAAATGCAAATATCTAACAAAAAACTAACCAAATTCCATAAAATAGCACAATAATAACCAAAATTTAAAGAGCAAACAAAACAGCATGTAAAATCTAGGTGAGAGCTCGACACTCCTGGACCTTTTTTGGGACGAGCCCGAGAGTGGCAACTGACCACTGTTCTTTTTTTCAAAAAAAAATGAACAGTAGTTGGTTGCCACTCTCGAACAGGTCTCAGGAAAGGTCTGGGAAGCGCCAAGTAGCAACCAGGATTTTGCAGGCTTCACACGGTACATTAAAAATATTTATAAGAACTATATGTTTGATATTGAGCTTTAGCATTAGCAGATTTTTGAACAGTTTTTTCAATAAAGTCACCAATACCTTCAACATAAACGAAATCTCCAATAAAATGAGGATGTGTAAAACTTAATGTTTCTTCTGGCAGGTCAATAAATTATTGGTTCAAGTTCTCGGGCTAATAAAGTTATAAATGTAGTTAAAATCCTACACATGTGACTTACTGAAATTTTAAAACGAAATGCTAAATCTTGTAATAGTGAGTCAAGTCAAATACGCATTAAAGTAAGTAACACTTCATCTTCAACAAAAAGCTGTCGTGCTGGACCAGGTTTCCTTGTACTTGAAGGTTTACTAGCTGGACTAAACTGATATTGCTTTGGTTCAAACGAACGTTTATAATCTATAAAATAAGAAACTTTTTTATGTTTAGCTTAAACACGACTAACAATATATAAAAAAAATTTCAATGGGACACCCAGTATACAGTTTTATGACTTTTGGTAAAGAACACAATGCCTCCTATGTTAATCTTTTATGATTACTTTGTTTATAAAGTGTTGTTGGTGTTAGATATGTTGCTGGTGTGTTAGTAATTAAATCGATTTGTTGTGGAGAAAGTTGCTGATTAAATGCTGTTGATGATAGACATGGAGGAGATATTGACAGAGAAGACTGTTGGGAAATAATTTCATTATTGTTACTGCTACTAGTAGTGGTACAGGTACTTGAAAAATGTGTATTTTTATGTTTTTTAGAAACTTTAGTAGGTGTATATCGAGGCATTAGTAGTTTTCTTTTACTTTGAGGAGGAGATATTTTGTATCCTTTCAAATATAAGTTTGGATGAGGGGATAGCTCAGTTGGCTTCTCATACTCAAAATGATTTGCACGTACTTTTGTATTTTTATTTACAGCATATACTATATGCTGTAAATAAGAATACAAAAGTATGTGCAAATTTTTCAAAATTTTTTACTTGTAAAGATAAATATTTTTCCACATGGAGTAAAATTGTCAACAGAGAAATAGTCGACCCTTTAACAAAAACTCAAAATGATTTGCACATACTTTTGTATTCTTATAATCGACCCTTTAACAAAATTCTAATAGTCAACCTTTTAACAAAAACTCAAAATGATTTGCACATACTTTTGTATTCCTATTTACAGCATATACTATATGCTGTAAATAAGAATACAAAAGTATGTGCAAAATTTTTAAAATTTTTTACTTGTAAAGAGAATTTTTTTCCACATGGAGTAAAATTATCAACAGAGAAATAGTCGACCTTTTAACAAAAACTCAAAATGATTCGCATTTACTTTTATATTCTTATAGTCGACCCTTTAACAAAATTCATATAGTCGACCCTTTAACAAAAACTCAAAATGATTTGCACATATTTTTTTATTTTTATTTACAGCATATACTATATACTGTAAATAAAAATACAAAAGTATGTGCAAATTTTTTAGAATTTTTTACTTGTAAAGAGAAATATTTTTTCACATGGAATAAAATTATCAACAGAGAAATAGTCGACCTTTTAACAAAAACTCAAAATGATTTGCACATACTTTTGTATTTTTATTTACAGCATATACTATATGCTGTAAATAAGAATACAAAAGTAAGTGCAAATTTTTTAAAATTTTTTACTTGTAAAGAGAAATACTTTTCCACATGGAGTAAAATTATCAACAGAGATATAGTCGACCTTTTAACAAAAAATCAAAATAATTTGCACATACTTTTGTATTCTTATAGTCGACCTTTTAACAAAATTCTAATAGTCGACCCTTTAACAAAAACTCAAAATGATTTGCACATACTTTTGTATTCTTATTTACAGCATATACTATATGCTAATTTTTTACTTGTAAAGAGAAATATTTTTTCACATGGAGTAAAATTATCAACAGAGAAATAGTCGACCCTTCAACAAAAACTCAAAATGATTTGCACATACTTTTGTATTCTTATAGTCGACCCTTTAACAAAATTCTAATAGTTGACCCTTTAACAAAAACTCAAAATGATTTGCACATACTTTTGTATTCTTATTTACAGCATATACTATATGCTGTAAAGCAGAATACAAAAGTATGTGCAAATTTTTTAAAATTTTTTACATATAAAGAAAAATATTTTTCCACATAGATTAAAATTATCAACAGAGAAATAGTCGACCCTTTAACAAAAAAAAAGAAAGCTATATGATATAGCTTTCTTTTTGTTTAAGGGTCGACTATTTCTCTGTTGATAATTTTACTCCATGTGGAAAAATATTTCTCTTTACAAGTAAAAAATTTTAATTTGCCTAAACTAAAAGTCTTATAAATATGTACTTTCAAAACATTCTTTTCTTTGTATCGACGATCGTTGTTACATCCAAAAATTGCACAATGATCGCTCTTACCCATTACAAAAGAGTGTTGCAAATAAAAAAATAATAGTCATAAACCAAATAGATAATAATGGTCAACTTTTAAAAAAATAATTAGAAAACAACACGATATTTACGATCTAAGCTAGGACTGACTTAATTTTTTTTTTATTTACTATGATCTTATAAACCTTTGGGAATTTTAAACCAAATGGGAATACCGCGTTATACACGGTGCCATTAGGCTGGGTGATTTCTTTTACTATATATATTGATATTAAAACAACTATAATCATCTTAATAATACTTTACTTTGCACAAAAACTCTTAAAATCGATAAAGAAAGATCCAAATTATTTGTAGTACTTACATACTTGCTTGCCATTTTTTAAGACTAATTTAAGATATTTACATGCTAAAACAAGATGCATGTAACTTCACCGCGAAAGCAATGTAATGTTGTTTTTTAACATTTGAGACATTTAAGATATTTCCAGCCTTCAAATAAAATCGCATGTACATACCACAAGAAACCCACGTGGGATTTCCCATGTGGGTAAATACCATATGTTTCCCACATGTAACCCATGTGGGATTACAAATAGGTGTCTGAAGTGGCAAAATTCCATACGGATACCACATGGGAAAATCCCATGTTAGTTAATACCACATGTAACCCATATGGGATTTACCCATATGGTTTTAAGTGGCAAATTTCAATACGGATACCACATGGGAAAATCCGTCCCATATAAATCCTATGAATCCCACACGGAACCCACGTGGGACGCGATTTTATTTTTCACTGGGTAAATATACCGTCGTGACCGACAGATTTATTAGACTATAGTTTTTTAAAAGGTTGCTCAAATTCTTCAAAAGATTATTCAAAGGAAGTTAGAGACGAAGTTAACAGAAAATCGAAGTTATCCATTTTATTTATCACAAAAGGAATTTTTTAACAAGATTTGGGCCAACTGACACAAAGAATTTATTTAATTCATCACATATCATTGTTGGATGGGACAAAAATTCATTATTAATTTTTAAGATTACAGGCAGTGCGCATGTTTTTGTTTTTCGCATGCCAGTAACTTCTCTTAGAATTTTCCAGGTTTTTCTTTTAAGGTAACTGATGTCTCAGTTATTTTAATTTCAACTGTTAAAACCTTTTTATCATCACTAGAATTACTCATGTCAGGCCTACTTAAATAGCTCAAACATTCTTTAATATAAATTACTACACCACCACCTTTAATATAAACTACTACACCACCACCTCGCTTATTATTATGACGCTCTAAACGAATTATTTTGAAACCTGGTAAATTGTCATTTGAGTTAGAATTTAAAGCCTCCGAGCTACACCAGGTTTCAGACATGCAAATTAGACTAAAAATACTAAGGGATTCTTTTAAATTTGTACAAAAGTTTTCAAAATTTTTTGGTAAGCTTCTTATATTAACATGCAAAATGTTAAAATTATTTGAAATAAGAAATTCTTCAATCTCATTAAAATAATAATACAAGCAGTTGCTTTTTATTGCGCATGCATCGAGAGAATAATTATGGACCGGGTCCGATTTAAAGTTGTCTAACAAACCATCAGTTTCAAAAAAATCAAAAGAGTTTAAACCCAAATTTTTTGAGTTATTCGAATCCATTTTTTTTTGTTTGTTGTTATTATTTGATAAATAAAAGAATTTCTTTTAAAAATCCCGCGTTCCCAGTGGGCACCCGACGTCAATCCGACGTCGGATTTACGTTTGATTTTCATCAGCAATGTCAAAAGACCTATTCCGACGTTGTTCCGATGTCAGTAAAATGACGTCGGGCGATGTCTTTATCTCAACATCCCCTGACGTCGTTTCGATGTATTTTGACGTTGTTCCAACATCTTATAAAAGACGTCCAAAAAACGTCGCAGTACTGACATCGATCCAACGTCGATAAAAAGACGTCGGGCAACGTCACAATATTAACGTACTCCGATGTCTTTTGACGTCTTCCGACGTCAATTCAACGTCCTTAAAACGACGTCGGAACAACGTCGTAAGACATCGCTGATGAAAATTTAATCCAAACCCAACAATATGTGTGCAATTGCGCTCTTCAATAATTATGTGAACTAAGCGTGTTTTTTTTATTAATGGAAAAAAGTTTGAATAAAGGTTGATAAAACATCATGAGGTTTTGTATGATGCACTAGCATAGTTTTTTAACTATTAACATTTTCGAGTATACATTTTTTATAATATATAACTATTCGTTTTAATATTTATATAATATTTAAACAAAATTATTTCTTATCAAAGTAATAATTCCCAAACAGCTACAATTATAAATTACTAAATAAACGCATCAATTAGTATGTCCTTGTGGTGTAGTGGTAAGCGCATAGTGTTTAGTATCTAATAGGCCGAGGCTCGAATCCTTACCAAAGGCAACGTTTTTTAGTTTTCAAAAAACACGTTGGATTTACTTCGGAATGCCGACGTCGCGCGATGTCAGTTTATCCAACGTCAAATAACATTTCCATTTCCAACGTAAACCCAACGTCGATCCGACGTCGAGATTCGCAGTCGCTCGACATTCGTTCGACGTCGAAATGCCCACTGGGTTACTAGTTTATTATAAATAACTTTCGCATACTTACCTTTTTGTTTTAGGTCTTTAGCGTCTGTAAACAACTTTTTAAGTCAATTTGTTCGTTCGCAAAAATCTTCATTAATGAAAAGGCGATCTTTCCCAAGTTTCATTTTGATATATTTGTCGAGGATAGCTGTTTTGTCTTTATAATAAAGGAGTTTTACAACGATGGTTCTGTGTTTTTTATTATTTTCACTTTCATCTTTTTTTCCAACTCGATGAGCCCGTTTAATGTCAAAATTGTCTTTAATTTAAAGATTTGTTAATAGTAATTCTTTAACTTATTTTTTTCGCAACCATTCCAACTTTCACTATCAGGTTAAACGATCCCGTTAATTCTCAAATTATTCCGCCTGCTTCTGTCTTCAAGCTCTGATATTTTATCTGCCATGGTTTCTGTTATATTGTTTTCAAGAATACTTGGGTTCGTGTGTTCGTTTTTAGACTTTACTTCGGCAAGCTTAATTAAAACTTTGTCATATTTATCGCTTACAAAACCGATACTTTTTTTAAAATCGTTTAATTCATTTTTAAGAATATTATTTTTATTAGTTAATGTATTAACTTAATTCTCCAACCTATCAATTTTATCAGTAAAAATTTTTAAGATTTTTCTTTTAATTCTTTTACTTGAGCATTTGTAAAATTTTTTGCCATTTTGACTTCCTTGTTTTACAGCTAAAACACATCTGTACGTGGTGAAGCTTTAAACAAATCTATGTATCTAAACAAATATATATATATATATATATATATATATATATATATATATATATATATATATATATATATATATATATATATATATATATACATATGATTTAAATGTTGAAATCTTATACGAGAGTAAATATATATATATATATATATTTATATATATATATATATATATATATATATATATATATATATATATATATATATATATATATATATATATATATATATAAACTAATTTAAATGAGATAATACGAATTCTCTCAATACTAAATAATTTATTTGAAATTTTCGCCGGATTATAGGCACCGGCATCATCAGCTTATAACATAATATAATTACAAAAATTGTGACCGTTAAATAACAACAACAAAAAATTTAAATTTTGACGCCATCTTTATAATGGCTTCTTATACCTAAGTAAGAAAAAAATGAAGTCCAAAAATTTGTTTTTAAATATTGTCCATTGTCCAAATTCATACCACCGTACGTTGGAGAACATTGATGTTTTTGTATCTCCAAGGCCTCACGGACTTTTCTTTCTAATATTTTATCCTCACCTTTAAGTGTTATTACTTTATTCCATTCAATGTCCTCATTACCATTTACTTGATGCAAAGCTATAATTCAAGTGTTTACAAAAAATGGATACGATGAAAAGTAAGTTAGAGTGGGCTAAAAACTCGTTTTATGTCTTACAGTTTGGATTGCAAATAATTATAGTAAAAAAAATCTAAAATTTAAATTTAAAAGTTTTTTTTAGACTTTTGTGGCACCTTTTTCTCTATATACTACCAAAAAGTTGTATTTTTTAGATTGAACATTTGAAAAATATATATCCATATAGGTAAGCCTGCATTCAAGTGATCTTTAAATTATTATTTTTTTTTTAATTAAAAAAAACTTAACAGATGGAAGAAAGTGGTTTTAACAAAAAAATAGTAATAAATAATATTATTTAATATTATCGTAATGATTTATATATTTATGATAATAATTGAAAATATTAATAAAAACATATAAATTATATGTGTTAATTTGAAATATGATGATTACATTAAAAACACAGTTTTAAGATGCATTTTAATTCTCTGCGAATAAGAGCGTAAAAGTTTATATAACTTAACGTTTAACTCCACGATTATTTGTACATATATAATCCTGTTATGTTTTCTACTCTTATATATAATCTTGTTATATTTTAGAGACTTCTAGATTTTGTACATTTGTTTGAATTAAGATTTTGTACATTTGTTATATTTTAGAGACTTCTAGATTTTGTACAATTTGTACAAAAAGCAAGAGTGATAAAAGTAAATTGTGTTTTACTCAAATATTTATAACTATATCATTGTTTAATTATTTTAGAGATGTCATCGTTGTTTGTTAAAATATTTGCAAAAAACTATAACTTGTCTTGGCATCATGTTTGTGTATTCGTTTTAACGTATTTTTCGTATGCATTTTTTCGAGCAAACAGAAGAGCAATTACAAACGATTGTAAAAATACATTGAACGAATCATTAATTTTTCAAAGCTCTAAAAACTTTTCTGAAACTAATGAAGAATTAATAAAGTTTTGTGAAAAACTTGATACTTGTTTTGCGTTTGCTTACGCAATAGGACTATATATTAGTGGCATAATTGGAGATAGACTAAATTTGCGTTATATGTTATCTTTTGGTATGTGTGGTTGCGCTGTTACTTCATTAATAACTGAGTATATAGATGTAAAATACAAATGGAAAGAGTTTTATTACGTACTTTATTCTGTTAATGGCTTAACGCACTCAATAGGTTGGCCAGTTACAGTTGCAATAATGGGAAACTGGTTTTCTTCGGGAGATATTTTGTACGGAACATGGGGTGGAAATGGTTCGCTTGGGTACATAATTTCTTCTTGTATTGTTAAATATTCAATTAACTATGGTTATAAAAAGGGATTGATGTTAAATAGTTCTTTATTATTTTGTGGCGGCGTGATTAACATATTTTGTTTAACTACTCATCCTTATCAAGTTGGTTTAAAGGAAAGTAATTTACCAAATGTGCGAAACTTGGAAAATGAGGTTCTTAACAAAAAAGCTGTTGAATTTAAAAAAGCAATTTTTTTACCTGGAGTTCGATATTATGCTCTTACTTTTTCATTAGTATTATTGGTTGATGACGTGTTTTTCAGATCACTGTCTAATAATTTATCTGATAACCTTAAATGGATTGAGACTAAATCTAATAGTTTGACATCCTTCTACGATTATGGTTCAATTACTGGAGGTAATAATATATTTTTTAATATTTAAAATTATACGTGTTTATATATAGCACATGGAAGGTTATCACACTATTACAAAAATATAATCATTTATTTAAATGACATAAATGAATTTTTTATATAGTTTTTATGTTTTCAAGTTTTATAACTCAAAATAATTTTTCTAATAAAAAAGCAACAGATTTTGTGAGAAATTGAATTCAACCGAAATTCCATGACAAATTAGTTTTGATTAAAATTACAAGATGAACTACTTCCATCTTAAAACGTATAAAACTTATTTAAATGTTCAACGCCTATTTTAAGGTAGCAGAAAGAGAGTGCATATAATTGGTTATTATTTTTTAAATCTCCTAAGACTTTCAACTAGGTAGAATATTAATTTAGTAAAGTTTTAAGAAAGATGACCTTTTGCAAGACCAAGCTGAGGACATAAATAAATTTTGCAAGGTTTAAATAGATAAATGCTGCAAGCTGGAACAACAATTTAAGTAAAACTATAGCAAATAGTCGTGAAGAAAGTAATAGGTTAACAAAAAAAAAAGTTCACAAAAAAACTTGTAGAATATAATTTTGATTTTTGAATACTATTTTATTACAAAAAATTTTTTAAAGGCATCTTTTCTTAATTTAAATTCGGAGAAATTAACAAAAATTATTGTATTAGCATAGTTGTAAGTCTTGAAACTGAGTTGTAAGAGTTGTTTGCATTCTGGTCAAAATTGTTGCAGATGTTGTTTTGAGCAAAGTATTACTATTTTGCAAGTTCAGACAACAATCTTTACAAGAAAATAAGTAAACAATTGCATGTTTGATAGTAAAAAATATAAAAGCAAACGATTTAAATAAATAAAACTTTTACCTCATAGTACTTATTGTTTTTTATAAATTTCGATGACAGAAAATACTTAACTTTAATTTTTTATTTATTTTTAAAGTTCACTTTTTACTAAGCAAAGTTTTATTGGAATAATTGATATTTATTTATTAATTTTACATTTATAAAGCAACCAATAAATATTCACGGCTTATTTTATTTCTAATTTTTGCTGGCGTTTACACGTGTCAGCGAGACCTAAAATCAGTAATTTAATATCCATTTATAAATGAGACTGAAACCTATTCTTTAAAAAAAAGTTTGCGTTGGTTTTTCATTTCATCTTGTTTTTTAATTTGACATCACATTTTTTGATAAATAATAGTTCAATTTTAGCCGAGCTTGATTTTTTTGTCAGAAGAGCATTTTAAAATATTTTTATTTTTCTATATCTTATTATAGCAGCTTTATATATTAGAATTTTTTTCTTTAAAAACTTATATTATCTCCGATGATTAGCATTAGAATATTAGCTTTATTTATAGTTAAATTTATTTTATCAGAAACTAGTATCGATCAAGGTTTGTCCTCAGATTCATGTTCTGGCTAAATGCAAAATGTTTCTTTTCCATAACTTTGCACTTTTATTCTGTCGTAAGGAAAATGAATAATTTGTTTTATTATTATTCATTTCAGAAATAAATAAACTAACAGTTTCAGGTTTTTCGAATAATAAGGAAATTGTGTTTTTTTTTTTTTTTTTTTTTGATGAGTATAAATAATGAAGAAAAATCAAAAGTAAAACTAGTGGTTTTTTTTTTTTTTTTTCTGGTATTTTATGTTTGAATAAAACTTTCTTGAAAATTCAAGCTCAATAAAGAGTGTCTGTCAAATTATTCATTAAAACTACGGCATTTGTTTCGCTCGTTAGTAATGTGGTGTGTTTTCTGATTTAACGGAAACCTTTAAAGGAGATCGAACTGGCAAAATATCCTAACGATTATTAAACTTGTGAATTTTTTCAATATCGTTCAATTATAGCAGACTGATTTTTATACAGCTGTATAGATTTCCAAATATTTCAACGATTCCAGGCTACAAATTTTACTAGATATTGCTGTTTTTAATCGGTGACCGTATTATATGGCTTGATAGTTATTTATATGTGGTTGCTTTTGCTGTAAAACGATTCGGTGGTTTTTTCATATTTTAAATAAGTAGTACAATATATTCAACTTCATATGAATTATCTTTCGGTTCTGATTTAGAATGGTCAAAACTAACTTCATTGCAACATAATCCTTAACAAACCAAATTAAACACTCATCTTGTTTAAAATGTTCATTACAGATAAAATAGTTTAACACATGTATGCATATATATTAGGGTGGGTTTTAAACTTTTTTTTCAGAGTTGCTAAACCGGCTTTGGTCTAGATGTTTGCTATAGATGCTTGTGTAAAAAAAATTCAAAATCATTTAAAACAAAAGGTGTGTTTCACTTGCAACTTTTTTACAAAGTTTTATCTTTAAATGGCTTACAGCTAAAAATATTAAAAAATTCACCGAGATGTGTGAGGCGTTAGTTCAGCTCCTCACACATCAATTATACCAACGTAAGATAAAACATTGTTTTTAAGCTTGATGCTTGACCACTTCAAAACACGCACAGAAGATTTATACGAATTACTTCTCAAACTAGTAATACCTTGAGCTTAGAGCCTTCTGCCCTAAGCTAAGGTATTTCTTTATCAAGTAAAAACGGTTACTTGCAGTTCAACACAAGAAGAATGCATGTTAATGTTGAACTATGCAAAATCGTAATCGTTTACAACAAAGTTTGCAATTTCGTATAGAAATAGGAAACAGGCCCCTTTTTTCATATAAAATCTCAAACTTCCGTTTGTTTTTCTCAGCCACCTAATATGGTTTCAATTTCCTGGCATTGTGTTCTATAAAGAAGTAATTTTGTTTCTGCCCTGCTGATCTTTTTAGATTTTGCCAAGACATTTGATAGATTGTTTCACCACATGCTTCAACGCAAAATAACTGATTATGGTTGTTGTTTTAAAATAATAGTTTGTTTAAAAGACTTTTCAGCAACAGGCAGCAGCGCGTTGTTTGAAGCGTGAAGTTTGTTCAGATTAGATTTATGTGTTAAACGGTGTGCCAAAAGGCTTGTCTTTGGATCACTTTTGTTTCTTATTTTTATCAATGATATTGCAGAACCTGTTGAAAGTTATTGTAACCTATATGCGGATGATAGTCAACTAATTGCCAGATTAAAAAATGATCATGATTCTGTCCATTTCCAGACTTATTACTATACTAAAAATTTTATTCTATCACTTATTGCATCTAGTCTCAGCACTCTCTAACACTTTTGGCATCAAAATCAAAATGTGTTTCTAATATTGTACTGTATTTCAACAATGATTTTAAAATCCAAATTACCGACAAAACTGACAGAATGTTGTAAATCTAGAAAGATGCCCACACCCCAGTCAGTACGGCCTTGGCAGGGGAGATTATTTTTGATGTGCGATTATTATTGCACACTACCAATAGAACCTAGCACATAAAAAATATAAGTTAGGGTTTTTCATTGAGCGTACCAAATTTGATTTAATTGACGAAAGAGCATTATTTGTACACTCCATGCTGATTGGGTGTTTATGAACAGTTGCAACAAACTCATAGGCAGTTGTCTCCGAGCAGGGAAAAAATAAAAATAATCAAATTTTTGCTTAAAACATTTTTTTGAATAACAGTTCAGTTTAACAAGCTCTTGGATTCACAATTAGTAAAGTGTTTAAATACGATAAAATAATATTTATCGCCTTAATAAAGCTTCCTCGTGTGTAAATTTTTTATGCGAAAGATTTTTTTTTGTTTTTCAAGCAATAATCTTGCTTTAATTGACTAAATTTAGTTACACTAAATATTTATTTGACTAATTTGAGTTATTTAAAAAGTTAAATGACTAATTTTAGTTAGACTAAAAAGTTAGTAGGGTATATTTAGTTAGCTAAAAAGTTAGTCGGGTAATTTTAGTGAACTAAAAGATTATTCAAGTAAATTTAGTTAACTAAAAGGTTAGTTGACCAATTTTAGTTAACTAAAAAGTTAGTCGGGTGATTTTAGTTAGACTAAAAATTTAGTTGAGTATTTTTAGTTAGACTAAAACTAACTGTAACTCCCACCCCTAGGCTACAGTTTCTGCTTTAAAGTATAATTTTAAATGTTAAAATATTATTTTATAATGCAAAAAAGGAACAATAACAGTAATAAAATTATTTTAAATATAAAACAATATGAAAAGAATAATAAAATACTTTTCTTTCTCTTGAAAGTAACTACTGACGGCTTCATAACTTAGGAAGGAGGTCTCCTTAGTATTTTGGGGATTTCCATGCTGATTCCTGTTAGACAAATTGAGATGCTATTGTAACCTTTTTATTAATAGAATAAAAGTCAATGAATAAATAAACTTTTTTATCAAATGAATTTAAAATAAATTTAAACTTAGTTTTAAAATAAATTTAAACTGGAAGTCAATTTAATACCACAAGTGGTAAAGTTAAATTCATTGCACAATTGTCTATCGTTTGTAAGTAGTAAAACAATCAAAATAAAAAATAAATCAAAAGCAAATGGCAAAGAAATAAATTGGTTATTAAAAATGCAAACCTTCAAAGTTTGTTAACCTAACTTTGTTCAGAAATCGCTCTCTGAACTGACAAAGTTGATGGTCAAAAAAATGACACCCATTTCTTCAATAATTAACTTTGCCTCAATCAAATCTTCAAATATTTAACTGTCATTCTCTTCCCAAACAACTCTTGCCCTAGTTATTTTTCTAAGCCTAATGATGCAAACCATTTTTTTTTAGTATTATTTAAGTATATAAAAAATCTAAAGAAAAAGATCATAAAAATATTTAAAAAGTGATTCTTTTATATATAAGACGCATTCCCAAAAATCCCAAGAAATGTTTAACTAAGTTAAATCATACTAAAAACAATGTTTTATATTGCTGGAATCAAATGCAATTAATGGAAAGAGTTTTTTCATCCTCTATAATTAAATTCAATAAGAGTTTTATTATGCTTTAATAAAGAGTTGTTGTAGAAGCATAATCATATGTTGTAGGAGCATAATCGAATGTTGTAGAAGCATAATCATA